CTCTCTCTCTCTCTCTCTCTCTCTCTCTCTCTCTCTCTCTCTCTCTCTCTCTCTCTCGCTCTCTCTCTCTCTCTCTCTCTCTCTCTCTCTCTCTCTCTCTCTCTCTCTCTCTCTCTTCCAGGTTAACCTTGATCTCCTTCTTCTTTCTATCTTTTATTGATACACTTCCTTCGTTCTTAATTCCAGTTTTTTTCCTTTCTCTAGCAATTTGATATAGATCTTGGGTTTGTTTGCTTTCTCTTCTGTTTTTGTTCCCATAAGATTGTTTGAATCAGAGAGATTTAGTAGATTTTTTGTGGGGATTTCCATAGTGTTGGGTTCTTTGATGAACTAGATTTTGTTTGCCTACCTTTTAGCCCACATATGCTCAATTAGGTTTTGGAATTTGATTAACTGATGTTGTCTTCTATTTTTGTGTAGATCTTGGATTTCACAAGCATAGCTCAGTAGATCTTGGATTTCACTAGTCTTCCAAGCCCAACCCGTTCGATTCTGATGATGAATCCGATAACAAACATACCCGCCGCAGATGAACACCTTTCTTCTCAACAAAGTCGTCAGAATCGTCAATCTAGCCATGTGTTGAAGTGTTGTTTTGTGGACAAGCCTTAGCAAACGTAGCTTCTGTGGTCATATAATCGTGGACTTCAGTTATGTGGATTGCACTTCTTGGATAAAACGAGTTCCAGAGATCAAATGTCATATTTTGGTTGATTTTGAAATTTTTTTTGGATGGTCTATAGTTAGAAATGCATGTGCAGTGTCATAGTTTTCCTTTGATCAATCATACATGTTCATTTGTATTTTTTATGCTTAACCGGTTTTCTTTTTTTGCTTTAGCTCAATTTTAATTTGTGAAGATTTTTTTTTTTGGTTTGAGGTTTGAAATTATACGACCATTTGTCTCTATTTGTTTTGTGGACTTGATTTGATTCAGGTTATATTGATTTTTCCATTGAAGTTGGTAAGAGATACAATGGTTTCATGTTGGATGATAGTAGATGCATAAACCTACGTAGGTTTATTACACTTTTTTTAATTTATTGGTTTGAATCTGTAGAATTTGTGTTGTATGTGGTGCTTACGTGGATGCACTATTATGGATGTGGTAATGTGGATTCACTATTATGGATGTGTTAATGATGCAAGAATTCTTGGTTGTGAGAATCTCACGTTCTACAGAATAATTACTTACTTTGTTGTTTAGCTTAGAATAATCTTGAGAATTGAGGCTTTTATACCTCTTTAAAGTTGTATATGGACATGTATGGCTTTATTCTAAAGCTAGATGATGCCATAGCTCAAATTCGTTGTTTTGTGATTTTGTTTTGAACCAGGATGCAAAATTGTATGATGAAAGATGTTTATGTAAACTTTAAGGGAAATCCACGATTGAAGGAAAAAACATGAAACTGGAAAGCTTGTCTTTTGATTTTTGGGTAATGAATGTCGTGAGAGGCTAGCTTACTATGGTATTGCTGGGAATCTAATCACTTACCTCACCACTAAGCTACACCAAAGAAACGTTGCCGCTGCTACAAACGCACCACATGGCAAGGGACTTGTTATCTCACTCCAATCGTAATGACTGAAAACACATAATGAATGAAAACACATCCAGAAGTACGACATCCATATGGACAACGTTTGGTGGATAACAAGATGTTTGACAATAGAGTTTTATCACACGTTTGCTTTTACTTTTGTTTAAGAGTAGTTCTTGTTTGTTAACATATTGGTTCATTTGCATTGATGTGATGGATCTGAAGTTAAATTAAAAGCAAAAACAATTTCATGTTAGTAGTTGTGACGAGATTCACAACCAAACCATTAAGATGGTAATAAAGGGGTTAAGATTGTTCATAAACACAAGTACGTGTGGAACAGGTGATCATATTGAAAATGGACACTAGCCATTTTGGAGCATGGCAATAAGTATATCAAACAATCTTTCCACGGACACATGGTCAAGATTAACATATCCATAGATACAAGAACAATCTTTAATTCATTATACAATATCCATAGATACTTGAACAAATATTTTTAAAGAAAACACTAACCATCCACGGGAATATGAACACATGAAAGTCTTACATTAAAAACTACAACACAAGCATTTCTAGCTGATGTCCATGGAAACACATCCATGATCTTTATCATTAGTTTTCACATCAACTGCATCACATCCACCACATCGTAACCATCAAACTCGCTACCACCGTATCGCAGCCACCGAATCACATCACAACCACAACATTGCAGCCACCACATCACATCTACCACTTCGTATCCACCATATCGCCTTCATATCAAATTCACAACAAAATGCCGGAATTTATAAATCCAAAAAATCAACTTAGTTTAGTTAAAGTAAAAAAACCCAGAAAACCCAGAAAATGAAGAAGCTCTTTCTCTTGTTCCGATAAAAATCTTCTTTTGTGAAGCTAGTAGATTCGGTTTCTCCAAAGAAAACACAAAAACGATGGAGGAATCAATTTTCCACACGGTTCAATTTTTATTGATTCTCTAAATACATTCAAGGAATCCACGAAGAACCTTTGAAAACATGTAAGCTCTTTCCCAAACAAACGACCAAACTCTCTTCGAGTGAATATTATTCCCAAGTTTCTCTAACCTAGCAAAAAAGTAACACAACTTTTGGGCCACACGATTTTGAACTCTTTTGTTATAATCCTACGGCCAATATTACATTATTTGTAACCAAGTTGGTTTACACTTTCTTTTTTCATTGTTTTTATATCAGGGGCTATTCCGTCAATTTATTGACTGCTCAGTAAAAAAGCAGTCTGAAAACGGTGCCAAGTCTCGAAAGGGTGTTAAAATGCAAGAGCAACCTCATAAACGGTGTCTCTGCGCAAGATTCTCTAAAATATAAGCCCACAGGTTTTATCTTATGTTTGTGTTACTTATGTAATATTATGTTTCTTTGTTAATAAAGTACTCTTGGACATTCTTTATCTGGTTCGGTTCTGGATATATCCATTTGGTTTCAGGTATTTTGGGTATGAGCGGTTAGGATTTCTTTGGTTATTTTAAAATTTTGGTTCGGTTTCCGTTATGTTTGGTTTGGTTTCAGGTCCCAAAATAGTGATTTATATTTTTGAAATGATTACATCTTAATAAATTTTGATTAAATTAAGAACAATATGCCCTAAACTTCTGAATATTTTGGTTATTTTAAATATTTTTAGTTGGTCTTTTAAATATTTTAGTTGGTTAATTTAGTCTAACAATATTGATATTTATAGATTTATAAGTGAAATTTTGGTTATTGGGTTATATCAAATCTAAATATAATCAATTTTTTGACATACAACTAGGTTTTGGGTATTTTGGATACCCTTGGTTTGGTATCGGTTTTATTCCGATTTTTCGATTCTCAAATTTACTAATTTACTATACATTCGGTTGTTACGTTGGTTTCAGTTTGGTTCAATTTCTCATTTTTTATTCGGTTTTGGTTTGGTCCTTTCGATTCGGTAATTTTGCCCACGACTAAAGAAAAGTTTCGTAATTTAGTTCACAACTCAACCCTGCTGCTTTGTTTTGTCTTTGTTCGTAGTCTTTATTTTTGGTCTTTGCTAGTTTTGGTGGATCGATGGAATTTTTAGCTTTCTCTGAGAAGTAGAAGTTCTTCACGGCAAGGTGTAATTGACGGTCTTTTGAGTGTCGTTCATCCTATCCCTGTGGTGGCTAGAGAAGGTCTTTGTGGAGTTGTCAGATATGGAGTTGGCTTGGTTTCTCTCTGGTGATTCTTCTCGGTTTTACCTTGGATTTTGTTGTCTTTATCTCGAGTAAGCTTTCATCCCGTCTTTCTCCCTCTTCGTGTAGTTTCAGTTAGGTGGTTAGTGTTGTTTGCAGTCTTGTTGGCCTTCGATTGGGGAGTCTCTTGGTTTAATTCGAGTCTTGATTTTGGGTTTGTGGAAGCGGTTGGATCAGTAAGAGCTTTTGGGGTTTGTGGCTTCAGAGAAGTTGATTATAACTCCGGATATGTTGGATCTACGGTGTGACTTGAAGAATAAAGTATTTTCTTTGCTTGCTTCTATCCCTTGGTTTGTAGCTGTTCTTGTGCCTTTCGTCGTTTCTAAGCCGTCTGTGTGCCCTGGTTATGGGCTGCGTTTCTATACGCCCATTATGTGCCTTTCCTTTGTTGAGTTAAGCTTGAAGAGATAACTTGGAGAGGAAGCCTGAAATTGATATTATATTTCCACCAAATGCATTTTATCCTCATGAGCATCATACCATCAAAGAAGATTTCAAGATATATGTTACACTTGTAGTAAATTTCGTTGATGATTATTTTGCCTCCTTATAATGGATAATTGTGTGTTACTTTGTGCATATTGTTGTGTGTTGTAACAGGAGAAGAACTAAAGGTGCATTGGCTCAACCCTTTGATTCTTATGATTAATATTTTGTGTTGAGTGGTCAAGCTAAAGACAAAAAAAAAGCGCTTTGTGGGAGGCAACCCACCAGATGTCCCATGTTAGTTTTCTTGTTTTTATTCTTTTTTTTTTTTGCATCGTCATTTATTTTTCTTTTTGGGTGTAACATTTTCTTTTGGAATTGTTCTCACACCGAGACGGTGTGAAGCAAGTCTCGGGGAGGATGTCACTAGTCTACTGATGCAATTTGCTTTTTCTTATTTTTTTTCATTTCGATGTTTTCTTGAGACTGTTAGTTTTTTTTATCGAATCAAAATCATGTCTATTTTATTGAGTCAAAATGTTGTATGAGAACTATGAGCTATTCTTTTGGAATTGTTCTCACACCGAGACGGTGTGAAGCAAGCCTCGGGGAGGATGTTACTAGTCTACTGATGCAATTTGCTTTTTCTTATTTTTTTCATTTCGATGTTTTCTTGAGTCTGTTAGTTTTTTTTATCGAGTCAAAATCGTGTCTATTTTATTGAGTCAAAATGTTCTATGTGTTTCTATGAGCGCTCTGTACTAGCCGTGTTATGATATCCTTGGTTTCTCGAGAGATTGGCTCTCTTTATGATAGGAGGTGGTAGATGTTAGTTATGATTTGGCTGTTCGCATCCATGATAAATCTCATTTGCAGGTGTTTCAGAAGAAGATATTGCTTTGTTCTCTTAGTTCTTTCTTGTCTCTTAAGGGTTTTTGCCTAGTTTCTTCTGCTCTTAGATTATGAATATGTCCTCTTTCGATTTGTGTTTTGACATTATTTGCTTTGTTTTTCTAGTTCGGTTTAGATTCCAGAAAATTTTTTGTTCCTCCATCTGTGTCTCCGAAGACTTTTAGTTATCTGTCGACTTATGTTTCCCTTTTTTGGGCGTATGTAATCATATCGTTGTTCTAAAAAAAGCTCTCATAAAATATCAGTTCATGTGAAAAAAGAAAAGATCACAACTCAACCCAATTAGAAGAATTTGGACAACGGTGAAGTTTCTGTAGAATTTGGACAGCGGTTATCCATACAAGGTCTATTGAGTCATGCTTGCTTTTAGCTGAGTATGTCGTGCGTACACTCATTCTTTTCTATTTTAACAAAAAGAATATAAAAGAATTCTAAACAGTTTAATATCTTTACAAATTCTTCTTATAAGTATATATCATTTCATAGAATCTTACTATTTTTTCAAATTAAACTGTTCATATGGTTAAATTATTTAGTATAAAGAATAAATTTTTTCATTATATTTTTATTTAATTAAATGTATTTCAAATTAATAATGTGTTTATATTTCATATTAATTTAGGTGAGAAACATTTACCATTATAATGTTAATATGAATACATTATTATTTTCTATACATAAAAATTATATTTTATTTTTTTGATTTAGATTTTACTTTTTAATGGAAATACAAGATAATGATTAATTTTTGGAAAAAAAAATAAATAAGGTAATTGGAAACAA